ACCAACCTAGTCTGTCACCCCGTTGGAGAATAGGGAAAGTTGTGAATATGATCAGGAAGAAAGGCAACATCCAAAGTGTTCTACATGAAGGACCCTTGTTAGCATTTCAGAGCCTTTGTACTGTGAGTTGAAGGTAAGTGTTCGAAGAGCACGAGGGGAGTTCATCGCCACTCACCCCATGAGGTGCTTTCTAAAGCGCCGCTACGCTTGTTTATTGCGTTCCTTAAACATCATGCGTTGTATTGCATTGTACCTATCAAGTTTCTTTCTCATTCATGTACGATATTGTATGTACGGTTCATTCAAAGAAATTCCGTTTAAGATCATTTCTTTAGTGTATCTATCACACTTTCTTCATTCACTTTTGTGTATCTATCACACACATTCTCATTTTGTGTATCTACCATGCGCATATTCACTTTTGTGTATCTATCACATACATTCTCGTTTTGTGTATCAATCACACTTCTTTCATTTTGTGTATCTATCACATACATTCTCGTTTAGTGTATCAATCACACTTCATTCATTTAGTATATCAACCATACTTTGCTCACCAAGTGCATCTATCACACTTTGTGTTCATTTTCAGTATATCAATCATACTCCGTTCACTAAGTGCATCTATCACACTTCGTGTTCACATTTAGTATATCAATCATACTTTGCTCACATTGTGCATCTATCACACTTTGTGTTCATTTTCGGTATATCCATCACACTCGTTCACTAAGTGCATCTATCACACTTCGCGTTCACATTTATTATATCAATCATACTCTGCTCATTGTGCATCTATCACACTTTGTGTTCATTTTCGGTATATCAATCATACTCTGTTCACTAAGTGCATCTATCATACTTCGTGTTCACATTTAGTAATCAATCATACTTTGCTCACATTGTGCATCTATCACACTTTGGGTTCATTTTCGGTATATCAATCATACTCCGTTCACTAAGTGCATCTATCACACTTCGTGTTCATATTTAGTATATCAATCATTCTCTGCTCACATTGTGCATCAATCACACTTCGTGTCCATATTTAGTATATCAATCATACTTTGCTCACATAGTGCATCTATCACACTTTGTGTTCATTTTCAGTGTATCCATCACACTCGTTCACTAAGTGCATCTATCACACTTCGTGTTCACATTTAGTATATCAATCATATTCTGCTCACATTGTGCATCTATCACACTTTGTGTTCATTTTCAGTATATCTATCATACGCTGTTCACTTAGTGCATCTATCACACTTTGTGCTCAACCTTCAGTGTATCTATCACACTTGTTCACTCAGTGCATCTATCACACTTTGTGTATCAATCACACACGCTCACACTATGCCTACTTTGTGTACCAATCACACGCGTTCACACTGTGTATCAATCACATACTCTCGCTTTGTATATCTATCATACCTGTTCATTTAGTGCATCTATCACACTTTGTGCTCACCTTTTTGTGTATCAATCACATGTTCGCTCTGTATATCTATCACACATGCACACTATATTCGCAGTGAGAATTCCATAATTTTCTTACATCCTTTCTGCACGAGGTGTAGTTTGGCTCGAGTTTACTTGCTTGCCTAGCATTCGCTTAAAATGTTGCATAATTGCTTCATTACAGCTCTCTTTGCATGATCATGAGTGATGTTCGGCTTCACGTAGCGTGTAAGTCCAATTTTCAAACCGGCTTCGCGTAGCGTGTAAGTCCAATTTTCAAACCGGCTTCGCGTAGCGTATAAGTCCAATTATCAAACCACCTTCGCGTAGCGTGTAAGTCCAATTTTCAAACCGGATTCGCGTAGCGTGTAAGTCCAATTTTCAAACCGGCTTCGCGTAGCGTGTAAGTCCAATTTTCAAACCGGCTTCACGTAGCGTGTAAGTCCAATTTTCAAACCGGCTTCGCGTAGCGTGTAAGTCCAATTTTCAAACCGGCTTTGGGTAGCGTGTAAGTCCAATTTTCAAACCGGCTTCGCGTAGCGTGTATGTCCAATTTTCAAACCGGCTTCGCGTAGCGTATAAGTCCAATTATCAAACCGGCTTCGCGTAGCGTGTAAGTCCAATTTTCAAACCGGCTTCGCGTAGCATGTAAGTCTAATTTTCAAACCGGCTTCGCGTAGCGTATAAGTCCAATTTTCAAACCGGCTTCGCGTAGCGTATAAGTCCAATTTTCAAACCGGCTTCGCATAGCGTATAAGTCCAATTTTCAAACCGGCTTCGCGTAGCATATAAGTCCAATTTTCAAACCGGCTTCGCGTAGCGTATAAGTCCAATTATCAAAATCTTCCTGCATATCATTTTTCATCTTGCGCCCGGCCTGCGGGCATGCCTGCGGGCACATCTTTGTTATCTTGCATGTTTGTCTAAGTCTTCAGCCTTGTTAAAAATGGGTCGTCTCTGGGCTTTGACATTCACTCCCGTCACTTATGACTTTCGAGTTCTGTCAAAGAGGGGCAACTGTAGACACCCCATTTTTGACCGACCTTGAGACTCAGATGTCACCAGTTGAGCGCTTGGTGATATTGCATGTTGTGATCGTTCAGAAGTTTCAGAGTCTTGGCTGCGAGCCTTGCCTCTGAACTTCCGGACCCTTTTGTGCTTTGTCTCAGTTTGCGAACCAGGCTCTGTTTTCTTTGGTTTTTCTTCGCGAAGGGAGGGAGAGGTCTCGTAGATCATCTCTCAGTGGCCGTAGGCTACGTTTCGTGGTCGTAGGCCATTTTTGCCCGTTTGGAGTCTGGTTCCCGATTTTTCGAAATCGTTGGCCGTGTGCCTCGGTTCGGGACCGCTTAACCATCTCCATTTGCTCCGGTTTTTGGCATACTTCTTATTTTCTCCCTTTTGAGGGACACTATGGTCCGAGAGACTGACTTCGTGGTCGAACACCACTCCCGGTGACTAACAGTCAATTTTCGGGGCCCCGGACTGCGCGTTTCGGCCCCCCGAACCTTCATTTTGCATTGGTTTTGGTTCATTTTTGGCAAGGACCTCTGTTTCATTGGTAAGAAGGCCGTAGAAGGGTGGAAGGCCAGTAATTGTTCTGTCAGCCAACTTTATCCCTTCATCGCCCTCCGTCGCCCGATTTTCTTCACTTTAAAGCCAATGTTGAACATCCTGGGGCCATTTTCTTGAACCCTAAACCCCATATTTGTGATGTACACACCTGGGAGGCCACCAATATCATATGGCCGGCCACTAATGTTGCTTGACCCTTTTGAACCCCTCTAAAAAGTGGGCTTTTCTCTCTCCTAGTTTACTTTCTCCAGTTTTTGACCATATGGTTGTGTTGTGCACACATGGGAGGCCACCAATATCATATGGTCAGCCACTAATGTTGATTGACCCTTTTGACCCTTGGCCGGCCGGCCATGGGAGGTGGCCGGCCGGCCACCTGCAACTTGGATAACTGGCCGGCCATGCTCCTTGCTGAAGGCACTTTCCAAATATGCATCTGTTTTCCCCCCAGATTTTGTATCCGGGGGCCTGCTTTTTGGGCGGAAACTTGATGGTTTTCCCTCCATTCCCCCCCCCTTTTCCCCCCTTTCTGTCTATATAACAGGGCCTCCAGCTCTGTAATGAGGGTTACAAAAATTCGCTCTAAGGCCCTTGCATTATATCTCTCTCCCTCTCCATCCCAAGCTCAAAAACCCTTAAGTTCTACACCCCTTTCTTCATCAACCCATAGCCCCACCCTTCCATCCTCCATTCCAGTAGTTTGAGGGTATTCTCCAGAGCCTAAGAGTGCTGCATTTTGGTCCAAGAGTTGCCAAAAGAGTGGTCTTCAAGGGTAAGTTCTATTTCCCTCCTTTTGGTCCATATTTTGCATGCTATTCTAGCTCCTTGAGCTTGCTGTTTTGGGCTCCGACCCTAACTATAACTAGGCTTATTTTGAGCTATTTTTCATGTTTGTTTCAGGGTATTTACCTGTTTGAGGTCTCCTTGTTGCACTTGCTTCATTATCTCTTTTGTATGCCTATTGCTTGTGTAGTATTTTTGGCCTATGTATAAACTGTTTTGAGCTCTGTCATCAACTGAAAAGTAGCTTATTTTGAGGCCTTCTTCAACATTGTTGAAGGGCTCATTGATGTTTGAGGCTTATATCTTCCACTTGCCTTTATATCTCCATTTTGGCTCCATTTTTGTATGATTTGTTATCCTATTTTGCTTCTGTTTTTGGGCTGTGATCCGAACTACAAATGGCCTTATTTTGACCCCATATACATGTTTCATTAAGTGTCTTTCGTGGTTTGAGGCATCGTTTATATACTTTGTGTTATATCTCTCTTTTGGCCATATTTTTGCATGATTCGTTAGCCTTGGATTCTTCTATTTTTGGGCTCTTTTCAGAACTGAAAACAGTCTTATTTTGACCGTCTCTTTATGTTTCATTAAGGGTATTTCATAGTTTGAGGCATATTTTATATACTTTGTGTTATATCCCTATTTTTGGCCTTATTTTGCATAGCATTTTGAGCATTCTTGCATACTGTTTTGGGTCCGGCCATCAACTGTAAAGTGCATTATTTTTGCCCCCTATTCAACATTTTTGAAGGGCCCCTTTGTTTTTAAGGCCAGCAACCACTACTTGCTTCTTTGGCCCTCTTTTGGCCCATTTCTTGCATGAGATCTTAGCCATACCTGTGTTGGTTTTTGTGGTTTGTGGTAAACTGTAAAAGGTCATATTTTGGGCCCCTCTTCAACATTGTTGAAGGGCCCTAATCTTTTTGGGGCCAGAAGCTGTGAGTTGCTTCATTATCTCACATTTAGGGTCATTTTTGCATGCTAGTGTTGCCCTATTTGTGTTTGCTTTTTTGCCTTGCTTAGAACTGAAAACATGCTTGTTTTGGGGCTGCCTTGAATCTGTCTTTACATGTCATGATCAAATAATGCATGCTCGAGTTAGCTACAAGCAACACATTTGCATTTCATTTGGTGCAAAAATTTATTTGACCTCTTTCTCATGTTCTTATTAATTTTGGAAACAGTTGAAGCTTGGTACACCAAATCCAGATGATTTGGGGTACGTTGATTCTGTGTCTATGGAGGAAATTGGCGGTGTTAGGGTATGATCAAGCTACTTTTGGTTTTAATTTTGTTGGGTTTTTTCTTTATGTTTCTTCATCTTCTTCTTCCCTAACATGATCTTTATATCTAATAAATAATAGGTCACCATTATGAGAAATGAAGAAGGTGGAACTCTGTATGCACTGTGGTCCTACGAGGAAATACCGATAGTATATTGGATGACGTTGAAAGAGCAGTTGATGATGGTGTGAATACATACAAGGCAATTCTGTGTAACACATCTATGATACTTATTTTAGGTAGGTCATCTTTTACCTGTCATTTTTATTTGAATCTATTCTTCACTTCATAAAAGTGTTGCATATTGATATTTAAAAAAAAGTGTTGCATCAATTTCTACTGGTCCTTAAGGAGCTAATCTGAATGTGGCTTTATGCATCTTTGTGCCAGGCAATATGCAGGGACAACCATATAGTACCTGGAGCTGCAGCTATTGAAATTGAGTTGGCTAGAAGAATGAAAGAGTTTTCTTTTAAGGAAACAGGGTATGTAGTTTCCTCTCTATAAATAGATAGATAGATATGATGCATGGGTATTGAAAAATCTAAGTGATTCGTGATTAGATCAAGATTTAATTGTGCCAATTCCCAACCAATTAATGCTCATAATCTAAATCATTAAGCAGTTACGAAAGTGATTTAGATTGTTGTTTCAGAAACAATAAATAGACACAAACAATTTTTACATGAAAAAAAAATCACTACTGAAGCACCACCAATTGTGATTAAAAAATCACGGGTAAAATGCCACAAATCAATCCACTACTGAAGAAAGATAGATTACAAATAGCCAAACAAATTACCCAAACGCTATCAATTGTATATCTTTCACCGCAACCTTTGTGTCGGAATTGATCAGATTGATGTTGAATCCACAACATCCATTTTCAAATCAATGATTGTACATAGCATCAAACTCTTTCCACTACTTTGCGCTTGAATCTTCGGATTCCACCAAAGAAGAACACTCTTAAAGAAGAACAACCAAACTCCTTGATGTGTGCTAATCAAAACATGAGTTCAATACTCAATCAAACATCAAGGAAAACTAGCAAACCACCCCCCAAAAAAAACCTTAAAGCCCTCAAAGAAGATCTAAAAAATGTAACTCTAAAACTGACTTAAACAAGTACTTATAGAAAATAGGGGCATCGAAGCTCGCTCGAGCAAAGACTCTCTCGCTCGAGCGAGGAACCAAATATGCGTGTTTTCCTTAAGTGGCGTCGCTCGAGCACACAATCCTCATTCATAGAATTTTTGCAGAGATAGACAACTTCTGGAAGCAGGACTTCTTCGCTCAAGCGAGCAAGGCAATTCAACTAGGAAAATTACAACTCTATAAACAATGTTGTTCGTGGGATTGACAAGACTAGGGGACCTAACAATCTCCCCTTTTGTCAATTCCTGGACAAAACATTCTAACACATTTTCTTAGAAAACACACGTGCTAACAAAAACAACCAACCAACTCAAGATAACCAACTCAACTAACAAGAACAACCTTGACCAAATATCTACAAAAATAGTAAAACAACACCATGGGAATAGAGAGTGTAGTTATTCAAAATCAAAAACCATATCAAGACATAATAAATAACCCTAAATCAAAAGCCCAAAAGTAGTATCAAAAGCCCAAAAGTAGTATGTCCAGTCTGCAAAATACACAATTAGTATGCAAAATGCAACAACTATATATCCGAATAGACAACTATATCCCAATATACTCCAACCATCATGCAAACAAAAATATATACTGCAAAATCCGAAACAAAACTAACAAACTCCCCCTTTTTGTTCGGGAGAGACAAAAGAAACAGAATAAACAGGCCAAACAGAAAAGAAACTGTCCAAAAACTGTCCAAAAGCAAAAAGAACTATGATTCTGGTGGAGGCGGCGGCTGCATCTGTAGCAAAGAAAGGATCTGAGCCATCATGGCGGACTGATGATCAAGATGGCCATCAAGGGTATCAAGCTGGGCATCGAGCTGATCCAGGTGATGGGTGACAAACTGCTCGAACTGCTACAGTTGGCCACGAAATGAACGAGGACGCATCTCAGGTGCACCAGTAGCGGCTGCATTAATCTCAACCTTTTCGGCAAGTGGATCATCACCTGTATCAGACTCCTGACTCTCGACGAACCCCCCCAGACATGAGCTTGACTCTGTGAGAAGTCAACTTGGTGATGGGTTTAATTGGAGAGGCAAACTCGTCATCCTTAAAGGTGAGGACACCAAGAGATGTAAGAAATCGAGTGAGAAAACACCCATAAGGGAGATCCAAAGATTTGCGACCATAAAAAACAGTAATCATTTTGGAGACGATCATCTCAGGCAGTCATTAGGAAGGCGATGGTCAATACCATATAACACATAACCCGGATCTTGGGTAATGTGATAAGACTGAGTAGTAACATGGATGTTGATACAAACGATGATGTTAAGGAGACAGAAACGAGAAAGAAGCTCATTTTGCTGAATGAACACCCTGACAATCCAAGTTCGGGAAGTGCCACAAAGTTCAGTGGCCACTTGATCAAAATTAACACCGCTGCGGGTAATGAAAGGATAATGACAATTCCAAACTTCCAGAAGACGAAGAAACTGCCTAAAGGCTTCGTCATCTATGACCAAGGCTTTGTGCCGAACCTAGGTGTGAAAATAGGGAGCTATTTCCTTGCTAAGGGAGTGCATGTTACAATAAAATTCTCGGACCAAGCTGAGATTTTGAGGCCTAGAGAAAATTAAGACTTGATCACCCCTTAAAGCATCAAATAAAGAATGGATGAGAATAGACTCAAAAGCACTAGGATGGACATTACGTTCTAAATGAACTTTCCTAGAAGCATAGATATCCCTAAACAGGTTGGATTTTTCCTTTGATTGAAACTTTTCAGTATTGAAATTGGAGCGAGACATGGTGGTTTTACGGCGCTTCGAAGACTTAGCCATGACTGACCAAAAGAGAGAAAAGACAACCACAAAACCCAACCCACCAAGACAAAACACAAGGAACACCCAAATACCATTAGAACCCTGAAAAACAGACATGAGAACACAATAAACATCATTAGTCCAACAGGGTTAAACAACATGAAAATGCACAAAACCATTGCATTACATTAATGACTGTAAGAGCAGTGCTAGGTCAAATTTCCAAAATCAACCAATTGCAGTAGTATGAGAGATACAGAGACAGTAGATTATGGAAACCAACATTAAGACAATTTACTAAGGCCATCATAAAGCAGTAATTGAAACGTAGGGAAAAACCAAGGTAGAGAAATTAAAACCCTAATTCAATAGTGAGATAGCAAAACCCTTAGCAAAAATGCATCAAACTACTAAACCAAAATACCATAGAGAGAAAACAAACCCAACAATGAAGAAGAATCCTAGAACCACAGACGAAGCAGTGCAAACACCCAAAATTAGGGAGAACGAAAAAGAAAGAGAAAAATTTACCAACGATGAAGATGCAAGACAAATTGATGAGAAATAAAAATGAGTGAAGACCAAGAGACAAACAGCAATGGAGAGGAAAAAACCCTAAGAGAGAGATGAACTGAGCAAAAAGTGGAAAAATGAAGTCTGAAGAGGCAGATGAACTATTTAAACCTTAACAGGTCGCTCAAGCGAGAAGTTTGTCGCTTGAGCTAAGACACTTACGCGCACAGGTTCGCTTATGCCAAGACATTGTCGCTTACATGCTCCCAAAATTTTTTCCATCTGCAAAAGTACTGGGTTAAAAGAAAGCTCGCTCGAGCGCAAACTCCCTCTCTCAAGCGAAGAAGGAAAAAAACAAAACACTAAAAAACACATTTTTGAGCAAAAACAAAAACTTACACTATTAAGTGGAACCTGAAACAAAAGGAAGTGAGCATAGCAGCATGAATGTAACACTAAGATGAGATAATCTACAAACCATGAAGCCTGCAACCGTGCAAAATTGACGATATGAAGCATAATATCATGAGCAAATCAGATGAAAATTGATCAATGAGCATAGGCTACATGAGAATGCACAACTCAAATTCAATCACGAGAGCTCACAAAATGAATGTGTGTGTGTGCAATCCTTGAGAGGCCACAGAGCTAAAGTTAATCCTCATAGTGATCGGATGGTTGGACCTCCAGCAAGAGGAACTAAACATCACAGAGAAAAGTCAAACCACTGGGAATCAAGGGATATTTGTTGAGTAAAAAATAGAGGCTTTCCCTCACTCAATGAGTCCTTTTTTTTTTTAATTTTTAATTTTTGATTTTTCTTTCTTGTGGGCACTCACTGGTGGCATGCACACTCTAGAGTATGAAGACCAAACTAGAGAAGTATGAAATCAGTAAGGATGGCCTAGTTGGTGCCTCTGAGGTAGCCTTTTCCTAATGCCCGGACTTCAATGAACTGAGGGAGGAACCGTGAAAGTAAAAAACGATGGTAGATGGTTAAGAGACTCAACATTACCTATGATTTGCCAGTATAGGTCAATTCCTCTGAAAATGTATAAGAAACACTGTTAGTGGTCGATAGAAAACTTTGATCACTTGTGCAGAAACCCCTGCAATAGTTTAACTCAAGGTTGTGTACAAAATGAGATCATGAAGTCAATGAGCATGGGCATTCAGAATGAGCTATGAACAAAGAAGAATGAAATCTTGCAAGCAGCATGAAAAGTATTCATATGAAACTAAATGCAGAGATGACAGGAATCAATGACAATGAAATTATTGCATCCAACCACACATAAAACCAATCACTCTCACTCACTCAATTAACATGTAACACCCTAGTGACTGAGCAAGACACCCAAGGTCTTTCTAAGGAACTCAAACCTAAGAAGATCAAGGGGTTTTGTAAAAATATCAGCTTTTTGATGCGTAATGGGTACATGTTCAAGAACAACAAGGCCTTCTTCCACTAACTCTTGAATGAAATGATGACGAATGTCAATGTGTTTGGTGCGAGAGTGTTGGACAGGATTTTTAGAAATATTAATGGCACTTGTGTTATCACAGAAAATGGTGAGAGTGTTCTGGTCTATTCCATAATCATGAAGCATTTGCTTCATCCACAATATTTGTGCACATCAACTCCCTACAGTAATGTACTCAGTCTCAGCAGTCGAAAGAGAAATGGCATTTTGCTTTTTGCTATGCCAGGAAACCAAATTATTCCCAAGGTAAAAACACCCCACAGATGTGCTCTTATGATCATTAGCACATCCTGCTAATCGGCATCAGAAAAACCAATGATTTTAGCTGTAGTATTAGTCGAGAACCAAATCACATAACCCAAAGTCCCATTAACATATTTAATGATGCATTTTATTGCAAGAAGATGAAACTCTTTAAGCCAGGCTTGGTAACGGGCACAGACACCTACACTAAATGCAATATCAGGTCGACTGGTTGTGAGATAAAAAAGATTTCCTATCATACTCCTATAAAGTGTAGGATCAACATCAGTACCGGATGAATCTTTGGAAAGGT